TGATTATTACTCCAAACCACATCACATCATATTAGACCTCCTATTTCATCTGACAGAACTGATACAGGGTTATCTGTGTTACTGTATTACTGGGTTTAAATGCACTTAAATGTTCATAAAATTATCTAAAAACATTGGACATGCTGGAGCCTGACTGAGAACAGAATGATTCAAAGCAAGATGAAGGTATTACTCAGTGGTGTCAGCAGCATTTCTCTCAGAGGAGTTCCCGATGAGGATGTGAGCGTCTCTTAGATCAACTTAGTCTTGAATTCTGTTGTAAATACTGATGCAGGAAATTTCATATAGACCCAATAAGTCAACTGTCCACCAGCTGATGGGCTGTTTTTCTACAGTGTTAGAACATGTTGAATAATTTCCATCCAAAGCTCTGTCAGCAGTGTAGTTGACACCATAATAATCTGTGTAGACTGAAGACTGGAATGCCACTTTGTCATCCAGTTTGATAGTTTCCCATCCTGGACTACATCCTGATGATGTAACTGAAAGTAAAGTAAAAGAAGAAAAAAGAAAAGAAACAATGTCAGTGGCAATAATACTTCAGACCAGGTCTTCTAGTGTTTTTTAGGAAAAATCTCCTTTTCACTCCTAAATAATGAATCTGAATTATGACTTCATGATCTGACTAAATCTTTTGTGGCAAACATATCTAGCGTGCGCACACACACACACACACACACACACACACACACACACACACACACACACACACACACTCACGCAGTTGGTGAAAAAGAAGCCATCAAAATTAATGAAATGAATAATTGGACTCTCAAAACATCCTGAAGGATGACCCTGTAATATATTACACTCCCACCCACACATCAAAGACTGCATGTTTATCAAAGCATTTATTTCTAAATCACAGTGATAACGTATCACAGAACATAATTCAATATAAATTTACATTTATATCATACATTTATACAGATATTTGTAATATTGCTTCAGTCCTAAAAAAAAAAATCCCCACATGGAACATGTTCCCACAGATATGACGTCTACTGTGATGCACAAATAAATAAAGGGAGAAAAAAATATATAAAAATAATTAAAAAGGCATAAAATTAAATACTTTACAAATAAGTATATTCACACCAGAAGCACCATCATATTTTTTGATATAACCTGAAGAAACTGATTAGAAATGCACTCTTACCTGGATCCTGTTGAGTTGATCTTCCTGTGAAGTTTCAGAGAACGATGTAAGAATGAGTGAATTACTGCCAGCTCTGATATTGTTGTTTGGTAATACAGCAGAAAGCACAGAATGTAAACCATCCTTCAACACTCAGAAATGAAACTGGCTTTACTAAAGTCAAATCCTCTTTAAACTAAATGAAACGACTTTTGCTTTATCGAGCAGTTTGGATCAACTCACAGTAAAACTGAACTGTTATATTTGATCTTTTTCATTCTTTATAACGATCATTGAAACATCACTGTGCCAGGCAGGAACATCAAATGATCCACTTACCAATCAAAGTGATGAACAACAGACTCCACAGCATCTTTACTTTAGACTCTTTGCACAAATGTGTCCTCTAATAAGAGAAAGAAAAGACTTCTACCCTCACTCTGGAGTTTTCTGTAGACACACTGATGCCAACATGAAAATATAAATTTCTCCTGTTAACACTCAGAGTGAGGCTGTTAGGCAAAGCATTCCCAGTCAATCTGATTTGCATCTCTGGACACATCATGATTCTTATGATCACCCTGTTTAACCTACATTGTGCATGCATCCAAGCAGCAGCACATGCAAATACTTTAGTATACCAGGAAATTAACTTCACCAGTCGAGGCTGACTAAATAAAAAGATATTCCGAGATATTTGGTGTGCTTGAAAGAAAAAAAGGATGCTTGTGATTCATATTCAAATTCAGTTTTATTTAAATTCCTGAAAGTGACGTACGTTCAGTGACATCTATGTGCATCTTGTAGAGATTTTCTCACCTCTCACTGCTGCCAGGAGGAAAGCTTCCTAAGTACAGAAAGTTAAATTTATTTTGAAACTAGGTGGGTAAATAATGCAGCTGAGTAGGAGGTGAAGAACAAGTACATTGCTAAATAAGGAATGACTGGACTGACAGCCGTCATTGTAATGAGCTTGCTAGCATTATATTAGCATGTTGCCTTCAACAGGTGGTTAAGTAATTTCCCCCATGCACACTTGATATAACAGTAATCACTATCTTACATATCACTTAAAAAAATCTGGATTCCAAATTTGAGTTTTTGATCACTTTACTTATTGCTTGGTTTAAATTGGATTTTTAAAAAGATTTTGTTATAGGAGTTTTTTGTTTGAACCCTTTGGTATTTCCACGTGGAATTTTACTCTGTTAAATTAAAATCCATCATCTCATATTTTATGACGTTTACTAGAATAGATTTATTCATCAAATTCTGAATTTTGGGTAACCGTAGCTTATTCAAAATAAACTTTTAACATTTTTAATGCTCCTTTCTTGTTATTGTTATTTAGTTGCGACACAGGACCGAAGGATTCACTCTTCAGCTTTATCGATAGCAGTGCAACTGTCACTTCTCTGAAGCTGTCTCTTTCCCTCTGCTCCATCTCACTTCAAGACATAAATTTCCATTCATCAGTCCAGTTCAGCACACCTGCTCTTCCCCGCCTCCACGCTGCCCTGTGAGCTCACGGCGTCACCCCTCCTCTGCAGCAGGCCAAAGACCACACGTCTGCCACATTAGTAACTGTGTTACTGTGTTGTTCTAACTTTCCAATCTGTAAAGAAATTTGTAAATCTAATAAACTTTTTTTGACACAAATCGGAATAATAATGAGAAAATATGGATCAAATTAGCAACTTCTTTAAGAAATTACGTCTTTGCCATTACTGCTGTTTTTTAAGCCTTTTTTTCTTTTTTATCATTCATCAATGGATTAATACTTTCAGAAATATTTATTTGTGATTCCTCTTTTTTATTGTCAATTAAATAATGATATAAAGAATTACTGTTTTAATGTCTAAATAAAAAGAAAGACTCTTCAGCCCCTTCATAATCTTTTACAAACTTCTGGTCACATTCAGCAGCACACAAGTAGAATAAAGGAGGCAGTTATGTCATTTCCCATTATTACACAGAGCTTCATTTATGGATATTTATGGTTTGATTTCTTTGCATGTATGAATTGGATTGGTTGTTCTCGACATCTGATGAGAATTTCGTGCCAATAGCACCTTTAGAAAAACAAATTGGGGATGTGTTCAGTTTTTATTTTATCTGCTGTATGTTTCTAATAATATTTCATCTGTTACTTCTTGCCGTTATTCACTTTTCTTGCTGCCTTTCAATGCCCTTGACACACAATTACCTCTATATTATTGTTTCACTCTTTTCTTTCTTCTCATCTGTTCTGTTGTCTGATGTAATCCCACTACCCGCCTTATTCTTTCTGTTAGCTTCTGTTGTGTCACCTGAAATGATTGAAGGTAAAACCAGTCAGAAAAAGCTTGCATGCTTTAAAAGCATAATTAATATCAAATTGTGATTTATCTGATTACAGCAAAATATTATTTGAATTATACCTGAAGAAAAGTGGATTTGTCCAGCACAATACAGAAAGACTAAACAGAAAAGGGAATTATAAACAGTTGTATCCCATCAACAGAGTGTCTTACCTCTCCAAAGCTGGATGCAGATCTCAGACTTCTGTCCTCCTGTAGATATGCTGCTGTTCCATTATCATGTCAGCTGCTTGATTTTAAACAGACTCACTGACCTCATAGTCCTATCACAGAGTTGTTCATTTTGCACTGCAGCAGTGGTCACAGTGCCTGATTTAGTAAGAGCTTTCATAAATGTTTAACGCTCTACACTTTTCAAGGTCCTGGGTTAATTAAATTGTTACATCTCCACATGATGCTATTTTACTGATATGTATAATTGGAACCAAAACAATCTTTGCTTTGTTAAGTTTAAAAGTACTTTAAGAAGTCTGTAGTGCAGTAAAATGACAGATGTTTACTATGATTACACAAACATTATGTAGGATATAATACATTTAAATGCATTCTGGGGTCAGCCTCAGAGACAGGCAGAAGTGACGTGTAAAAGTGAGGTCAAATGTTACATGATATTTGGATGCAAACTATGATGTGATATTTAGAATCCCCATATACCTTTATCATTCCCTAAATGTTTTCAGTACAAACAAAAGCAGGATCAATTTAAGATTTGTTTTTGTTTTTAAACGGCATTTTATGAAAGTCTGACCTTCGTTGGCCTTGAAGGAAAGTTCAGAGGTCTAAAGTAACAAGATATTTAAAATCACCATATATCATTCTCTATATACCTATATGTTATTAGTACAAACAATATAAGTAAAAAACACAGTTTTAGATAACAATGCTATACACATGCAGAGCTATCAATTCTGTCAGTCGAAGATATTTTAAATCCTTTCGTGCTACTTTCTATATGCTGACAGTATACACCACATTTGTAGGAATCACAGTCTCTCAGTTTTTGTCAGTTTTCAACCAATAAATCATGAAGTTGACTTTGAAGATGTTGATGGATGTAAGCCAAATTTTAATGGATTGTTAACAACATAAAACTGTTAGAAAACATCACCTCTTTGGCAGAGATGTTACACATTTTAAACATGTTAAGCACAAAATGAAGCAGTTAAAATAATTCACTTGTTTCATGGTTTGATACAGATCAGAGGCACTGCCGTATATTTATCACCGTGAAGTGGATGAAATAGTGAAGGTTCAGTCTGCAGGCTTAATGACGACCACATTCACTGTGCTGCTTGTCTGAAACATCTTCAGCTGGTTCTTCACTTCCTTCCTGTCTGTGTTCACCTTTGTAAACAGTCAACACTGCAGCATGAGGATATTGTGTTTCATGCTGCTGCCCGTCAGTCTCTAACACGCCTGTCAGTAAGATCTTGTTCCACCAGCGCTGTCTGAAGCTGTGCAAAGAGACACTGGTCAGGCTCTCCCCATCCTGGTAGTCCTCCCTCATCTTCTCTGGGATCAGGTCCTCTGACATCACCTGGAAGACCAAAGAGAGATAATGTTGGTGTGTAAAAATGAGCCAATTTAACCCAAACTGCCTGGAATTTAAACCTCCTCAAGCAGGTCTTGTAGTCCAGCTAGACGGCATGTCCCGTCTCCCTGCAGAGAGCCAAGCTGCCAGATGGAAGCAGTCTTTAAAGTATGTGGTACAAACGGTCTGTGGGCCACTGATGCTCGTGCTGTTGTTGGTCCACCAGCCAACCGTGTACAAAGAGCTGAAGTAAACCAGAGTCTTAAAAACAATGAGCTGTCCACTACAGCCACTGTCTTTGCTTTTCATGACATTTTTTTGTCTTTGAACTTCTCCATATTCCTGTAAATCCACTGTCACCACTTTCTTTAATCAAGCCCACTTGTCAACCAGTCAACATTTAGCAGAAGCTTATGTTATCCACCTCCACTGACACCCAATCAGGATCTTGACGAACTCAACAGGAGCAAGTCTGGTGTGTGAAAACCCCTCCGACCAGAATCGTGGGACTACAAAAACTGGTTTCAGAGTATGTGTGCAAGAAGGATTCTCACCTCAGTGAGAGCCTGCAGGGTTTCTTGTCTGGGGTTTAGCTGCTGTAACGCCTCTTCTGTCATCTGTAGGACTCTTTCACTACGCTGAAGCACAAAGGAGGACTGCTGCTGTCGTAGGATCCTCAACAGGAGTCTGTAGGAGGCAGCAAGACAATGTGAGTACTCTTATATCTAATATTATACCCTGTATTATCGGTCTATACTTGGTCTTTTTTATGCCTAAACCTTTGACAGCTGGCACAGACATCATCCAAAAAACTGTGGCTGTGGATAATTAAAGGATCCATACAACACTCTGCACCACTTACTGGACAGTCACCTGTTTCAGCTCCACTTCACACCACAATAACTGCATTTATTACCATCTTACATATTAAGCTCTGTATTGTATTAAATGTAGGTTTTCATTCATTTTCTACTTCACTAATGTTGTTATTTAGTGTAAGTGTCACCTTTTTGACCTATTTTGTGTTGTCATATTGTGTATATTTTATTTAGTAAAAGCTATGTCTTAACTGTTTTGGATACTGTAATCTAGCAACTTGCTCACTGTTAGGATAAGAACTGTATATCTCATTATATTCACACAAGGCCAGGAGGGCACTTGCATTTACACTTGTATTTTGGCATAAAGAACTATAATGAAATTTGGCCCCTGAAGTTAGTTTTTTTGTTAGGAAGGATTTGTTTGTTGTTGAGTGCAATGTTAAAATAAGTTCTTTAAAAAGCAAAAAATGATTTATTATGAAGGCAATATGAGCAGAGAAGACAAACATGCTGAGGGATTGGCCGTGTTAGTTCAGTGAGAGAGTTATTTGTAAAGAAAACAATTTTCACTAGCAGTCAAAAACTAATGTGAACACTTATGTCTGCATTTTTATTTTGTTAAATACGAACAAAATTATAGCAGAAGTGCTGCCACGTGTCTGGCACAGCGCATGTAAGTTTGAGACAGCTGATAGGCTGACGATTTCTTTCAGTGTGTTGGCTTTTAAAACAAGCGAGGCTAGGGCACATTACTTCTTTATGTTCAAAGGATTTTTTTTACTTATTTTAATCTCACAAACTGCGGTCATTCACCAAACATCAGCCCAGCTCGTCTTTCAAGAAAACTTTAACTAATACAATTTGTCTGAATATTTTTAGCTGGTGCTTCTGTGAAGCTGGCATGTGTTTTGGCTTATATGAACATACAGAATGTAAATACAGGGGTCACAGTCACATGTTGTACCTTGTCCTGATGAAACAAGTGCAAGCTTTGAGCCAGACTCTGTCCTCGCTGAGTTCTGCGGTCTCCTCCTGATGCCCCTCTCTGTCCTCCTGCTCATCTGTTGATTTGCAGCTCTCAGAGGAGGAGGATTCTTTGAAAAACACAAATACAGCAAAGGGAAAATGTTATATCTTTGATAACCTGCTGTAAAAAAGTACAACAGAGTTCATTTAATATAGCAATACACTTGAAGAAGGAAGTTAAACAAACACTACCTGTGGTTCTGTTTCTGTCCAGCAGCTGCAAACACATCTGTCCCAGGCTGAACCAGTGCCAGGGGTTAAAGGGCAGCAGGCTACACAGCTGCTGCAGAGACGACATCTTTGATCCTACAGCTCCAAACTGCTCATAGATGCTGACCTTGGAGAAAAAGTAAACATTAGATTTGTACAGAATAATTGGGACTGTGAGCAAGAAAAGGGTGAAAAGGCCGTCTGTGTTAGGAATACTGGGAGCAACACAGTGGAACTGATTCTTCAATATTTAAGTTACTCATTTGTAATGATTTCTAAAAAGCACTGTTGCCTCAGAGCATGGAGGTCCTGGGTTCGAATCCATCATCTGGTTGGGGCCTTTGTGTTCACATGTTCTGCCCGTGTCAGGGTGGGTTCTCTCTCAAGTAGTGGAAACTAAACTGGTGAATCTAAATCACTAGTGTGTGTGTGTGTGTGTGTGTGTGTGTGTGTGTGTGTGTGTGTGTGTGTGTGTGTGTGTGTGTGTGTGTGTGTGTTTTTCAAGCTGACCTTGAGCAGCAGGAGGCTGGTTAGGTGACAGGTGTTAGAGGCGTCTTTGCTCTGTAGAGAGATCACGTACATATTACTATCAGGTCCGGATTAGAGTTAAACCAGTTCACACTAAATCTGGTCTGCAGGCTTTTAGCCTCTGAGGACAAACTCTGGGTGCGTTCCAATTAGGGATGGGTATCATTTAGGTTTTATCCGATACCGGTGCCAAATCGGTACTTTTGAAACGGTGCCGGTGCTCAAACGGTGCTCGAACCGGTGCTTAAAGAATGGAGAACACAAAATTGGTCCAAAAACCTCTCATGTTCAGCTGGTTTTTTTTGTAAAGATAACAATGTTTTCTGCAGCTATGGGGCATATATGGTATCACTCTTGGCTGGAAGCAGTGCTTAAACAATGGAAAAAACAGCTGTTTTAGCAGTTTTCCACTTTTTTATTGGTCATTTTAGCCTTTTTGGCCAGGGTGAAGGGAGTATCTGCCATCAAACAAGAGGACAGCCGCATGTAGCTATGATGATGTTTGCTAGTTCACCTTACATGCATTAATGTAATAACGTGGTTAGCCTACTCAACGTAAATTACACACGAACAACATGAAGCTACTCATGCAGAGAAGAACGGCTGCTGCTGCATCATCGTCATCATTTCTGCTACACTGGCAGGGCTAGGGGCCAGGACTCTATTCTTCGGGTTTTTGGGGGATGTTGCTCCGGGTCCGATAACTGGCAACCCACCCAACGTGCACGGTGTGAGGTCTCGCAGCAAGCTATCAAATACGGCGCATTTCTTGGCTTTTAAATAAAACGCTATGCGTCGCCAGCTGTTTAATCGGATTGTTGGTGTTACCTCCTTTGACAGTATCACAGTATCAGCTTAAAGCACTTGTTGCTGCTGAGTTTGCATATTTTGCTGTGAAGTACAGCCAGACTTCTGACCGCTTCGCCTTGGACATGTTTAATCTGTAGCTCTGCTCTAACAGAACGTACGTACCTAGCCCCGCCTACTATCCTCGGAAACGTAAAATGATTGGCTAGAAGTGTATCACAGCTCAGGAAAAAAAAGCACCGAAATAAAGCACCGAAATGTGCGCTGCTTTTCGGTCTGGTTACTACCGTTTATGTCAGAATGACACCGGTACCCATCCCTAGTTCCAATAGTCCATTTTGCTTATTAAGGTCCTAAGTGAGAAAAGTGACTCTTCAATCCTTCCTTTATTGCTTCCTTAGGATCCACTGGAACATCCTTTATGAAGGGGAGAAGATGGCATACCATAATTCAGAGCGGTAGACCATCTGACTGTTAATGAAAACAATCGACATTATAAACAAAGTGGTGCAGATCATGGAAATGTTAATTATAACTGTATTTTATACTTCATGAAGAAACAACTCATCAAGAAGTAGTTTTTAATCCAGCTGTGTGATGTTCAGAGTTCAGCTGTGACTTTAACAGGTTGCTGTTAAAATGTAAAACTATATCAGCAGATTATGGCATGAAGGACATGGATTTATGTAAGCTCTGTAAAGATTATGAGCTCGTCCTTTGCTGTATTGAAGACTTTCGGATTGTCTTAAATTTATTTTTACTTCAGGTCAGCTGGTATAAGGGAGGGATGGAATTTTATTGCAGTCACAGAAATCCTAAAAAGGGGAAAAGAAGTATGTTCCACTGGATCACAGCTGGTTAATATAAGACAAAAAGATGGGTTTAATTTTATAGGCTATGGGATATTTCTCACAGGCTGTTATCATTTAAATGACAAGCAGAGTGAGGTTAAAACACATTGTGGTGAAATAAGATTCTGTATTCTGTAGTCCATCTGCACGAGTTAGTTTCAACATCCGTCATCCGACTGGAGTAAGGTTGTTCCAATTCTCATCGCACAGCTCTTCTCTTTTCCTAAATGCTTTTCAGTGATCCTACCCACCTTTCTTTGATCTCAATGATGTTTTCATCCAAAAAGAGGAAAAGAGGTTAGAAAAAGGAGATAGGAGGGACTTTTGGAACACACCCTCAGTGTTCAGAGTTTATAGTGCAGACAGGGTCACTGTTAAGGAAGACAGATTTTTAAAAAGCGGATAAAAAGTCACAGGATGGTCACATGGTAGCTGACAGTATTCACTCTGACTGTTCCTCATGGAAAACCCAGTCAGGTAAAGAATTACCAGTAACTGGGCCAACTCCAGCGCTCTGTCTCTCTGTCCCAGTCTGGTGCAGCATCGGGCCATCCCCTCCACGACATCTCGTCTAATGGTCAGGTTGTTGTCAGCGATCCACTGCAGGCAGCTGCTGTATGCCTCCAAGGCTTTCTGACCCACACACACCAAACAAAAAGAAACCAAACAAGACTTCTAAAACGTTACAAACGCTAAGGTGGAAAAGTGAGAGTGGCAGCAACAACAACAGGAAGAGTCAAACCCAGAGTGCGATTTGGTCCAACCCTTAAACAGCTTCTGTAGGTTTTATTTTTTCACTGAAACAGAAATTTCTTGTCAATATTTTATGAAATCTTTTCCATGCTGTCTGGAAATGTTGCTGCTGTGTAAACCACTGCTGACTACATCTGTGCTCTTTGGCTGTGTGAAATGTGACTATAAAAATTGCTGTTTTCTGAGGTGACTTACTGGGCTGGAAATATGAAAATGATCTAACTGGTCTTGTTTGTTCATAACTTTACAACAGTCTTACAGAAATATTCAAATACTGATGCTGTTGATAAAGCAACAAAGTGATGGTCATGAATGGACTTTTTATTTGCCTGTTAGTTTGCATCAGCTGTACAGGAGGTTTATCAGCTATACAAATACCTGCTACAATAGACCTCCATGTCCCAGTGAAACTTTCTGAGGAAGTGTTTGATGTAAGAGAGCACAGACTAAATTGAATGAGTGACAGTACCTGATAGTTTCCTTGTCTCACAGCCAGGTCACCTCTGAACTTGTAGACTTTCTGCGTCTCCAGAGAATCTTCAGTATCCAGAGCAGCACTGTCACAAAACCACTGCAGAGAGGAACAACTTTACTACACAGCATGAGGCTGTTAGAGGATGCTGCTCAGTCAGTCACTGCCAGAGGAGTACATGTCTCCACTTTTGCCCTGATGCAGCAGCTACTCAGCTTCATCTAAGTTTAAACGTCAGCATAATAATAATGCAGTTTAACTTACAGCGAGCAGCACAAATATCAGAGAGGAGCAATATTGAAATCTCGCACTTAATTCAGAGATGGGATATCCGATTTATCTGCTTGTTTCTCTCCATGTAAACGAAACATGTGACAGACTCAGCCAAGTGCAATAACATGGGAGACGTCTGGCCTCTAGAAATGCCACAGGGTACTTATTTGGGCACTTATTTAGAAGCATGAACTTCATTTCCTTTAATTTGTGTGTTTAAAACTGAGTGTCTGTAATCACCAGCCTAATTTGACACAAACGCTTAAAATGACGAACCATAGTTACAGTTATTCTCCTGTATGAGCTACATGTCAGATCGTAAACGTTACAATAGAAATTCGCACTTTAGTCTTTTAGCTCCGTGTTTGTTCTGTACATAACGCTCTGTGTTCGTGTTCACCACGAAGGACAATCTAAACAACCTTCATGTCTATCTTCATGTAGTAACGTCTCTGTGTAAGACTCTCACCTCTGGCTCACACAGTTTGGCGCTGTAAGAAGACAGAGACACACACACTCGGTCTCTGACCTCCGAAAACACCGAGTCGTCAAACGTGCTCCCTAATATCTCCATCTGGAGCTAAATACGTACAATTTACTCCACAAATACAGGCTGCCCATACAGCAACTACTGTGCGCTTGGTTAAACAGCCCGACGAATTCATTTCCGGACAGAAAGGTTCCGGCTGATGACGCAGTAACCACTCAGCTCCTTGGATATAAAGAAGAATTCATATCGTGGTGTCAAACATGCGGCTCAGACAAACGCTGTAAAATGTAAAAGTGAGTCTCCATTGTGTCCTCCCATCTAAACAGTTGACCACTTTTGATAAGTGTTTGCCTCTGTGCTCAAATTGCATATTCATCCAATGAAATTAAGGCAAAAATACACTGATGATGCTGCATCATTTTACAATGTACAAGACATATGTGGAATTATGCAGTTTATTTAAAGGAGGAAATTTGACACAGATGCAATCACTGAATATCTGTAAACCTGACGGGAATGTTACACCACACTGGCGGCTGGCAGCGCTACCCCTCAGTCTCCAAGTTGATGCACCTATGGCATCAATTTTAAAAAGCCTATGCCACCTCATTCTTGAGTTAGTCACAAAGTTAAGTCTCCACACCACCCACCAGGCAACGTGATGACGTGCTGAGGGTATTTTTACAAATGAATCTACTCATGCTACAGACTGCTGTTCTTGTCTTGTCTGGAGCCCACTGATCAAAAAATACACACTGATCGTTGACCCAGATCCAGAAGCTGAAGCCACAGGTGTAGTGAAGACCCAGCCAGACAAAGGGAGTGTCAGCCTTCTGAGCCTCCAACTCAACCCAGACCTGAGTCTCTTCATCAAGGATGGAAACCAGATCCATGTGTTCCTCTCTGCAGTGGTACAGGGCGTCTTTCCATGTCATGTTTTCTTTAATCAGGTTGAAGGGCTCTGAAAGGAAAAACATCAAAAACATGAAACTCAGTTCCACTTTCACTGAGCTGTGTACTTTATCATTATCCTTCACACCTCCTTTCCACAGTGACAGAGCTAAGACTGAAAATAAGTGTCAAAAAAGGGAAAAGACTGAAATTGAGAGGAAAAATTCTTAATATTGTGGTAAGAAAACCCACTATTACTTAAAAGACAATGTTATAGTTAAATACATCAAAGTTGAACTTATTTAAAGTTCATCTCTGTCTGATCCAAATGTATTTAACGTGCACCAATCAAAGTAGTTACTAGTTTTATAAGCAGGTTTGGATTTTTAGTGAAACATTGCTCCTTCATGCTCACATTTCATGAAGCATTATTTAAAGCAAAAATGAATCGGGTTCTATCCTCCCGCAAGTATAAAATATAAACTTTTCTAAATCAACCTATCAAGAGTGAAGCTCAATAACAGCTGGCATTTTAAATTAAAATTGCACACATTTCATGTCTCACAGCTGGTTGAGTGCTGTGGAGTTCAGGGACCACAGAGGAAAATGGTACAAAGGGAATATAATATTTCATTAAAATAAAGGATTTAAAAAAAGGTTCAGGTGGAATATTCTTTTATTCTTGTTATTCTTGGCTGGTGAACTCTTAGCCACCTATATAGCAGTTTCTAAACCCCTCCCCAGGTGTCTTAGCCCCCACTCACACCTTCACCCATGTCACCCAATAACTCACATAATAGCATGAAGGAGCAGTGTTTCACTAAGAATCCAAACCTGCTTATAAAACTAGCAACTACTTTGATTGGTGCACATTAAATACATTTGGATCAGACAGAGATGAACTTTAAATAAGTTCAACTTTGATGTATTTAACTATAACATTGTCTTTTAAGTACCAGTGGGTTTTCTTACCACAATATTAAGAATTTTTCCTCTCAATTTCAGTCTTTTCCTCCCTGAAATTGAGAGGAAAAATTCTTAATGGCAATGCTTTGGCTGCTGAGACTAGGCAACAGTAACTCAAATATCCACTCGTTAGAACCAAGGCATGCAGAAAAGTATCTCTGAACACAAAACATGAACACAATTTCTTGACAAAGGCAAATTAGACGTAAAACTCTGGGAATGCTTTGCCTACTGAACAGCCTCACTCTGAACAGGAGAAATGTATATTCCATCTGCTGATCTTGTTGATCTGTTTATTTTCATATTTTTGTGTTCCAGGTGCTGTATGTTTGGTTTTCCTTATATTTTTCTATTTGTGCTCAATGCTTTTATTATGTAGTCCCGTATTTCCCCCCTTTGTTCTTTTTTTTCTCCATCCTGTCCACTTAGACAATTGTCATACTACACATATAATGTAACAAGTGAAATAACACAAACAGAAACAGATAAATAAACAGAACAAAAAATACATGAACAAGAAGAGCCTGTAGAGAATTTATAGAGAACATGTTATAAAAGCAAAATGTGTTGAGCCCAACAGTGCTTTCAGATTACAAGTGTGCCTGCAAAAGCTACAAAACAGGACAGGATTTTAAGGGGGGGGGACACACACAAATAAAACCAGCAACAACAATGAAACACAACATGTTAGACACTGAAGCATCAAATCAAACAGTGTTTCTAAGTTTATAGGTTGATTTTGAAAAGATTTACATTTTATACTTGTTTGAGGTCAAAACCCCAAAAAATCACGATTAAATTATGTGAACAGGTGAGAAGCATTTGCTTTAAATAATGTTGCATCAAGACTGAACTGAATGTAGACACAGAGCAGAAAGCAGGGCTTAATGGTTGACTGGTTGAGGGGCTTTTTTTTCTAGCAGCTTGTTAATGATTTACTGATTGTTACAGTAATTAGTTTTGTTTTAGTTGTTGAAAAGAATTACTATAAATTAGTTATAGAGTAGATCAAAATTTATAATTTAGAAATTGTAACTATAACATTATGTTACTCGATACCTCATTATTCACCCATCTTCTACTTGTTATATAAATATCCTGGTATGGAAAAGTATTTGCATGTGCTGCTGCTTACACGGACAATGTAAACTGAAACATAACGACCGTGGTATGTTCACAGATGCAAATCAGTCTGGGGATGCTTTGCCTAATGACCATAACAGCCTCACTCTGAGTGTTAACAGGAGAAATTTATATTTTCATGTTGGCAGGGGGTTTGGCTCACAGTCCCAATCTGTACAAATTAGAGATGGACTGATCCGATGTTAAGTATCAGTATCGGTCCGATACTGACGTAAATTAGTGGATCGGATATCGGAGAGAAATAAAAAATGTAAATGTGATAGAGCGGCTGTGTGTATTTGTAGCCTCACTACCAATCCCGCATTTCATCTCCGAGGAAGTTATTCCAGAGAGAAGTAAAGCAAGTGTGTAAGTTCATCTCTGAATGTTTGTAAAGCATTCCCATGTTAAGCTTAACAACCGATATATGGAGCGACTGCCTCTCTCTCCCTCTCTCCTGCTGCAACTTCAATCATGAAACTGATCAATGATCAGCTGATCGTCGCGACTCCGTCTCTCTGGTTTGTTTTTGGCCCACTTTGCACCAGAAAGAGGAAACCAGCGGCAGAACAACAGCAGCACGTTTAAGCTTGATCAGTTGTTGTTAGGATTTATTTAATATTACTTTCTACACCAGGATCTTTTTCTATGTAGCTGACGGCTGGTAACTGTGCAGGGGCGGATCTAGCAAAGTTTAGCCAGGGGGGCCGATAGGGCATTAACAGGGAAAAGGGGGCACAAAGACATACTTTTTTTTTCTTATTCTCATTTAAAATGTCTAGCTTTTAATAAATAATTATCCGAATCTTACACCCAAAGTTTTAATCTGATGTAAAATGTATAGAAGTCCATTACTGTATATAGTAACTGTTAAGTCTAATATACCCTAGTAAGCTATAGTACTTTTTCCTTTGGGAAGGTACCATCTGTGCAGTCTGCAGTTCTGTTGAAGAAAGATGTTGAATCTATTTAATTATTCTTGAAAATTTTTTTATTTCTGGGCATTTTTTTTCACACTGCATCAAATTGAAGTTGATTACGTCAATTAAGCATCATGAGGTGGAGGGTGGTTCCTTATTGTTTTTATTTTTTTGCTGGGAGTTTTAGAACCCTATTAGTTAGGTTGCTTACTCTTTAAAATACCAGAATAGGGAGGATGGAGTAGGTTTAAGTTTATTAGATTGATCAGTATTGCTGAACTATGAAATATTTTGTGTGCAGTGTATTTTTTACATACAGGTATAACAGAATAGCTTTAGTGTTTTGTTTTGTTTTTTTAACTTGAGTATGAACTTATACAAAAAGCAGCAAAATATTAAAAAAAAAACAGTTTTATTGATTAAAAAACACTATATCGGATTCATATCCAAATTTATGATATCGGTATCGGACATAAAAAGTGGTTTCGTGCCATCTCTAGTACAAATATAATGTTTACTTTGTCTCCAAGGTCAGCATCTATGAGCATTCATATCTGAGGGATCAAAGATGTTATCTCTGCAGCAGCTGTGTAGCCCACTGCCCTTTAACCCCTGGCACTGGTTCAACCTGGGACAGATGTGTTTGCAGCTGCTGGACAGAAACACAACCACAGATTGGCAAATTGTCGTGATACATTAACACTACTTTTTACAGCAGGTCATCAAACATATAACATTTTCTATCAGTTTCATCAGCACAAGGCAAAAAACCAAACCAAAGCACATGCCAGCTTCACTGAAGCTGCAGCTAAAATAAAAATGGAGGAACAGGCTTGATGTTTAGTGAATGACTAGCATTTGTAAGATTAAAACCAAATAAGTAAAGAATACTTTCATTTGAACAAGAAAGATATAATATGCAAATACCTCACTTATTTTAAATGCATCATTTGCAAAAAGGTTTAAAACATCAGCTTAGATATATTTTTTCCCCCTAAATTACCGTCACAGCAGGCAAAGCATTAAACACATATCAGAGGACACCACTTAGGGAAGGAGGAAAATGTGTAATTTTGTAATAGTCAAAATTCCCTTGAAAGAGCAACAGGTCTGATGTTTAGTGTATGATGGTGTCACAATGTGCTTTGTGGAAGGTGGTTGTTGCTTTGCAGACGCAGATGCAGAACACAACCCACAACCTCATCTCTACTGCTCAACCCACAAATGCATTTTCCTTACAAATGTGGCACCACTGAGGGGAAAATAAACAGGCTTTCCCACAG